TCAGGTAAGGGAAGCTAGATTGTAAAGTTGTCGGTCGTATGTGAATTGGGAACTCATTTGAGTACTTAGGTTGATTAGTATGAGTTGTGTTATGAGATGCATGTTGTAGTTAAGTTATGAAGTTGTTTACATGTTTATTGTTGAATTATTAATAAGTTGAGAGGTATAAGTTGAAGTAGTTTATAAGCTGTATTAGATTGTATGTGGAAAAGTTGCTATGTTGTTTAAAGTTGTTAAAGTTGAGATTGATGACTATAGTTGCTTATTGCTGTAAAAATGTTAAGATGCCTATTGTTGTAAAGTTGTTAAGTTGCTTATTGTTGTAAAGTTGTTAAGATGCCTATTGCTGTAAAGTTGTTAAGATGCCTATTGCTGTAAAGTTGTTAAGATGCCTATTGCTGTAAAGTTGTTAAGATGCCTATTGCTGTAAAGTTGTTAAGATGCCTATTGCTGTAAAGTTGTTAAGATGCCTATTGCTGTAAAGTTGTTAAGATGCCTATTGCTGTAAAGTTGTTAAGATGCCTATTGCTGTAAAGTTGTTAAGATGCCTATTGATGTAAAGTTGTGTTGTTGAGTTGTAATTTGTTTAAGCTGTGATGATAAGTTGTTGATCACTAGGATTAGGGGAGATGTTTTCGAAGTTGCTCATCCCATTGTGTGGATTGAGATAGTTGTGGTGCTCTAAGAGCCCAATTTGTTGAAAAACCCTCCTTGGGAGATTGTCCCTTGGAGTGGTCGTTGTGTTGTTCTCCTCTAGGACTTAGTTGATCCCGTGTGTGGGCAAGGTCGAGGCACACGTGTATAAAGCGACCACAGTATAGGGGCAAGGTCGAGCTATACCGATTATAAAGCGACCACGGTATAGGGGCAAGGTCGAGCTATACCGATTATAAAGCGACCACGATATAGGGGTCAAATCGACCTATATCGATTACAAGTGGCCAATTTGAGTAAAGTACGAAGTCGGGAACTTAGTTCCTAACCGAGTACTATACTTCCTTGTTTAAGTGGCAAAGTCTGAGAAACCATTATCGTGTTGTGGATTGATATCCAAATTTACTGTATTGTCAGTTCGGTAGGACCTAGCCACTTAGACTACTTATCATGTTGTAGGAGATCTCCGAGTCGAAATGCGTGACGACGCATAAGTTGTTAATGAGTTGATTTGTTGTTGATATGAGTAGTACATACGTTATTGTGTTGTTAAGCTGTAATTGTGTTGTATGTTGACCTTGTTGAGGATGATGATAGTGCTGTTATGTTATAAGTTGCTTATTTGTTTACAAGTTGTGTGTTGATCTATGATATTGTTGAAGCTAGTTGAAATTAAGTTGAAAAGGTTGCTATATGTTATGTGTGGACATGTTTATGTTGTGAAATATGATGAGATGTTGTTATTAGTAGACTGTGTTGTTAGAGAAGAGTTGAGCTAATAAGCCGTTGAGTTGATTGTGTTGTTTAAAGTTGAAATGATGTTTATATATATAGTTGTTATGTTGCTTATTAAATTATTATGAGTTGTTTATTGTCTCTAGCTTACCCTTGCATGTTTCCATGTGGTTTGGACTGCGATGATCATGCGTTGTATGGGAGCAGGGCAGGGATAGTCTGGAGATAGCTGCTAGAGGCCACAGGAGGTGACTGGAGATGGAATTTTTTTTGTAGGCTACCGTATAATAGCATACTTTGTTGTATATAATTTATTTGTTGTTGGTTGCTTGATTAGCAACTGTATTGTAAATATTTATTAAACTATTTTAGTATATTTTCGAGCAGTATGTAGTGTTTTTTTTCCTAGTGTGACGGTCACGACGGGTCGTTACACTTTTATGGTATCAGAGCAGTTCAAGTCTAGTGGACACTCTGTGGGGGTGGTCCCTCTAGGCTTTTGCTGCGTTGAACTCTGTGTTGTGTTGGATGTTGTGCTGATTTGTGTTGAGTAGTTGAGATGTAGTGTGTTGAATGAGTTGTTCATTTTGTAGAAGATGCTTAGAACATGAGAAGATAGCTCATGCCATGGAGATGATGGCTGTGGTTATGTAACAGCAGAAGGCCTATTTTGTTAGGATGAATGTTGAGTGAGCTGCAACTAGTGTCGCAAGACCAGTTGGGTCATAGGAGAGTCGAGTTTTGGTTGAGTTCAAGAAGTGTAGTCCTCCTTAGTTCAGAGGTGATGCAGATCCGGAGGTGGCTGACCACTAGATTTGCGGGTTGGAGATGATATTTTCAGTTTTAGGTTGTTTAGAGGAGCGAAAGCTCACCTATGCAGTGTATATGTTGACAGGGGAGACAGAGTATTGTTGGAGAGGTACTGGTCAGATGTTGATTGACCGTGGAGTGGTTGTGGACTGGGTGTGCTTCAAGAAGGACTGGTTGTGGAATGGGTGTGCTCACCTATGCGGTTGATTGACCGTGGAGTGGTTGGTGATTACAAGAAGTCTGAAGTATTTTCTTGATTAGAAGGAGTTGAACATGAGACAGAGACAGTGGATGGAATGTTTTAAAAGATTATGAATTTTAGTTGATGTATCACCCTGGGAAGGCCAATGTAGTGGAAGACGCTTTGAGTAGGAAGTCCATCCACATGTCTAGTTTGATGGTGAAGGAGTTGGAGCTGGTTGAGAAATTCAGAGATTTGAATCTGTATGTGGAGTTGGCTCAAGACCACATTAGTTGTGGCTTGATTACCATTGCTAGTGAGTTCTTGTAGCAAGTTGGTATGAAGTAGTTGTAAGATTCGGAAGTTGTGAAGGTTCTTAATTTGTTAGATATAGAGAAAGCAGTTAGCTTGAGATGAGTGAAGATGGGATTTGAGGTTTAAGGGCAGAATTTGCCTACCTTAAGATTCTAAGTATAGAGAGACATTGTTGAATATATGGCGGCCTGTCTGATTTGTCAGAGGGCTAAGGTTGAGCACCAGAAGTCTGGTGGTTTGTTGTTGGTGATGGAGATCCGGTAGTGGAAGTTGGATAGTATCACTATGGATTTCATTGATGGGTTGCCTAAGTCGACTAGGAATAGTGATGCTATTTGAGTTGTGGTTGACAGATTGGCCAAGTGTGCACTTTTCTTGCCTGTTAATATCAAGTGGTCCTTGGAGAAGTTCACATAGTTGTATGTGAAGGAAATAGTACGGTTGCACGGGGTGCCTTCTTGTATTATTTCAGATAGGGATCCAAGGTCTACTTCTAGATTTTTGGCAGAGTCTATACCAAGTCTTAGGTATGAGGTTGAGGTTGAGTTCTGCTTATCATCCAAAGACGGATGGTCAGTCAGAGAGGACAATTCAGTCCTTGGAGGTTTTGTTGAGATCTTGCGTGTTAGACCACTTGGAAAGTTGGGAGAAAGTCTTATTACTAGTAGAGTTCATGTATAACAGTAGCTTTCATGCTAGTATCGGGATTGCACTGTTTGAAGCCCTGGGAAGGTGCCTGGAGATGGAATTTTTTTTGTAGGCTACCGTATAGTAGCATACTTTGTTGTATATAATTTATTTGTTGTTGGTTGCTTGATTAGCAATTGTATTGTAAATATTTATTATACTATTTTAGTATATTTTCAAGTAGTATGTAGTGTTTTTTTTCCTAGTGTGACGACCACGGCGGGTCGTTACATACAACACAGCTCGGCTTAACAACATTAATCAGTGTAAACATCATACAGCACAACTCATGTTTAACATCATTAATCAACATAAAACAACATTCAGTATTTTTATAGCTATAGAGAAAGTCACCTTCGCGCCCGACGCAATAGGATTTGCGCTCGGCCTGAACCCAACCCGAGAGCTCTAAAGCTCTTACGCGCTCGACACAATAGAAGGCAGAGACTCCCGAGTCTCCCAAGCTCGGTGTACCAAACTCACGCTCGATGCAAGTAAGGCAGAGACCTCACCAAGGTCTCACGCCTGTGCGCTCATTCTGCGCCCGGCGCCACCCCTGGCAGAGACCCCCATGGAGTCTCGACGCCCGACGAGATCTAATCACGCCCAGCGCCATACCAGTAACTCAACTCCTTGAGTCCCTATCTGATATCATGCCCAGCGCGGTTCTCTCACGCTCGGTGTGAGCCATCCAGGGACTTCCATTCTCAAGCTCGCCCGGCGCAACCAACCTTGCGCCCGACGTGCTTGAACAATGGAGCTCTCTAATGGACACACGCCCGGTGCCAAGAACTACGCCCGACGCAATTTCAAACAGCAACCCTCCCAACTTCAAAATTTTCACTCAAAACCTGCAAAATCAACTAGCTCAAACACATGCAATCTATCAAATGAACCACATTTTTAGCATACAACTCAAAAGTTAACTCTTTTTCAACATGCAACCATCAAGCACCTAAAATCCCCATTTTCCCCAATTTTCCCGAAATCCCGAAAATGCAATCTCTTCAACTCCGGCCATCAATCTCCTGAATCCAAGTATTTCATGAGTTCCTAAACCCATTTGCAAGCAAACCACACAAAACCTAACTTCTCTTACCTCGGAGAAGAAGAATCCGAGCTCCGGGGAAGCATAAAGGAAGAAGGAGAGAAATTGAGAAAAAAGGAGCCAACTCGAAGCACTCAGCTAGCCTCTACTCAGCACCTACGATCACAGCAACCACCACAATGAAGTTTGAGAAAAGGAAAAGAGAATGAGAAAACAAGAGAGTGAATGGAGAAAGGAAAATGAGAAGGGTTGAGAGGAAAGGGAAACGGCTCTCACAAATAATAGATATTTTAATTAAAAATAATAAAATTAAAGATGATCTTAATAAAATTAAATATATTAGTAATACAAATTAATATATCAATGTTAAATAATTAAATCAGTATAATTTATCATACATTTATCATTTAATAATATAAAATAACTTAAAAAATTATTTATAAAATAAATTACTACTAAATAAGATATTTATATTATGAAGGATTCTAAGAATAATTTTAATATCCTAACAATCGTTAAAAATGGGGTTGAATAGTCACAGGTTACCATTTAAACCTATTAATTTATAAACCCACCCAGCACTAGAATAGTTCAGCACATAGGGTCTCGTGGGAGAAAAGAAAATTGAAGAAGGGTTAGGGCTTGCAATTTCTTCTCTGTCTCCGCCCTCCGCGCTCTTCTATTCCTCACCCACCACTGCCACCGTGCTCCGTCGTACCACGCCACACTTACTGCCACCGTGCATCACCACCGCGCACTGCCACGGTACGACTCATTTTGCACTGCCACTCCCACCGGCTTGGCTTGCTGATTATTTACTGATTTTGCATTTTGATTGTGTATACCTATTTCATATTTTAATTCTGATTGTGCCTAGCAATTGCGTATACTGTACAGTTCTGACTTCACGCGCACGTTCTGATTGTGTATATTTAATTTTAGTATTTTACTGATTGTGTATAACTATTTAATATTTACTGATTATGTGTTGATTTTAATTTTAACACCCATAGAAAAACAAATTAGGAAAAACATTGTTGTAAAACAGAATATGGCTCGACATTAGAAAATAAAAAAGATTTTATTTATTTATTTATTTATTTTATAAAATTAAGTGAGCCAACCGAATAATCCACCAACTCGTGGTGAGTAGGACAGTGCTCTTTTTTTTTTCTTTTCTTTTTTTTTTTCTTTTTCTTTTTTAAGTTCACTAGAAAGTGAGTTGGGTTGGCTCATCTATTAGCAGTTCATGATATATACACCTCCTTTTTTTTATAACTACACCTCCTTTTTTAAAAAAATTATTAAAATTTTAAAATATTTTTAATTTTTTATATTTATATTTTGTATTTTTTAATTTTTAATTTTTTAATTTTACATTCACAACATTTAATTTAATACTTTTTTTTCACACATCTTCTCTCCTTTTTTTCAATTTTTACATGCACCTCCTTGTCTTTCCTTCACCTCATCTATTTTGGTAGCATGTGAAAACTAAAAGAAAAAAAAAATGTGTGAAAAAGAAGAAGTAACAAATTAAAAGTTAAAGGTGTAAAATTAAAAAATTAAAAAAAATTACAATATTTTATAATTTAAAAGAAAAATAAAGGAGGTGTACTTATTAAAAAAAGGAGGTGTATATATCACGAGCCTCTATTAGCTGATCTGTGGTGGGCCTGGCTAGGTGGCCCATTTTGACAACTCTCAAGATATCAAATAATCTATATTTATTATAAATTATATAAATTTTTATAAAAAGTTAATAAATTTAATTATATTTATTCAATTGATCGAACCTAATTCAATCTGTTTGTGATCAAATTGGGTTGACTTAGATTAAAAAAAAAAAAACCGTTTCAATCTATTGAATTTTGATGGGCTCATGATATATACACTTCCTTTTTTTTATAAGTACACCTCCTTCTTTTAAAAAAAATTATAAAATATTATAATTTAAAAAAAAAATTAATTTTACACTTTCAACTTTCAATTTACTACTTTCTTCTTCTTATTCACACACTTTTTATTTTCTCTTTCAATTTTCAAATGCTACCAAAATAAGTGGGGTGAAGGAAAAATAAGGGGGTGCATGTAAAAATTGAAAAAAGGAAGAAAGATATGTGAAAAAAAAGTACTAAATTAAATATTGTGGATGTAAAATTAAAAAATTTAAAATAAAAAATTAAGAAAATTTTAAAATTTTAATTTTTTTTTTAAAGGAGGTGTACTTATAGAAAAAAGGAGGTGTATATATCATGAACCTTGATCGTGTCTGGTAACAAATTCATCCAAGTCTGGCCCAACCCAACTCACTTAAACTCCTACCCACATATGAAATTCCCAATTTCCCCTGCATCACTAACTTCTCTAAAAGGTGCCGCACATATTTATTCTTATAATCATTCAATACATAAGCATCTCAAGCACTTAATTCTTAATTTTTCCTGTAACGTTGATTCAAAGGTTCAGTTTTCGCTATGTTGAAAGTGAAGAAGAGCAAAAGAGACACCCATACTGGGGAAAAGAAGAAAAAGAGGAACAGGGAACGAAATGTTGATGCTGACATTGAAGTTAAAGGTAAAATATGTTTTGTTTTCATGTCCTCACCCTTTGTTTGGCTGTTTCTGACGTAAGGTGATTGTTTCAGTGGATGATGGAATTCAGGTTGCAGAGGCAAAGAAGGATAAAGCTTCTATCAACAAGAAAAGGAGGAAGAATAACAAAAGTCTAGTTCGGAAAGAAGTTGATTTGAAAGACGATACATTATCAATGGCATCGGATGGAGTAGTAGACAATTGCCATTCTAAAGCTGAGGTGATCCAAGACTTGGATGGGCACAGAGATTCTGACACTAGAGCAGTTATCAAACCCTGTAATAAGATACATATCCTATTTTATTTTATATTTACATTTTCAAATGTAATGCTTCAAGTTATACATTCATTCCCCTCATAAATTTGTCTTGATCTTGTAGGTAGGTCAAAGAAAGATAAGAAAAAAAGAAGAAAGGAGGTTCAAATTTCACAGGAAAAGGGAGAAGAGTTCAAACAAGAGGAATTTTGTATTATTTCCTCTGGAGATGATGACTGCTCAAAGGGAATGAAAAGTATGAACTGTTTGTTTAGCTGTAGAGGGCATTAGTTTTTGTTTGCTTTAAAACTCCAAACATTATACATCTAAAACTTTTATTTGCCTTATTCATATGGGATGATAGACATATATTTTGTAATGTCTAATTTTGTGGCATAGTTACTGTATTGTGAGTCTATTTAAATATTTTATCGTTAAATTTTGCAGTAGTAATTTCCATATTTGATATCTGAGGATTTTTATGTTAATTTTCATCTGTAGATGTCTCACCATTTGCCAACATTTACTTCTAACTTCTACTTGTAAACATTTACACAGTTTTTTAAAATTTATTCTTTCAATCTGTTGATAGAATGGATTGGGATGCACCATTGTACTTTGTCTATATTTGTAACATATTGTCTATTAACTGACGGGTCTACTCAAACTGCAGAATGGATCACAGAATACCATCAAAGTAGACCAGGATTGGATGTATTGCAACGTCAAATCGATGATTTTATAACTGCTCATGAGGCAAAATTTGAAGAGGTATTTGTTGGCAAACATGCATTAGATCAAAACAGAATAATTGGATGCTCATGTCTCATTAAGCCATTACTTCAAAATTCAGCTACTTTATGCAGAATTCTTGCTAAATGGAAGTGTCAGTGAATCTTTTTCTTGCAGCTTAATTTTCATGGCATCAATTTTTGATGCTCACGTTACATTAAACCATTACTTTAATATTTGGTATTTTATGCAGTTTTGTTGCTAAATTTGGTATCTTTTTCTTTGGGCATAATTGTCGTGGCATTTTCCTATACCAACCAATTTTATGGATTTGAAAAATAACTAATAAAAGAAGCAAATAATTTACCTTTTAAGAGTATTATTGGATAGGGTACTGAAAGAAGCAAATAGATCAACATGTGGTTTTGATTGACTTGGGGAGTCTAGCTGAAGGCTCTAGGGGAGAAAAAAGAGTTTGTATTGCTTATAACCAAGTGGTCGAACTGATTTATGCTGGGGGTTACAACTAGTATTAGAACACATGGTGGGGTAATTGAGAATTTCCTTATATTTATAGGTTTACACAGGGTCTACTCTAAGCCTTTATCCTTTTACCTTGTTTTTGGGTATGCTTACTAGCTGAACATATTAAGCCAGTGTCACAATGTATGCTTTTTACAAATGATATAGTTTGTGTGCTAGTGGAGATTAATGGCAACCAGAGTAGTGGAGAAAAGCTTTGGAAGCACATTATTTCTGATCAAGTATGAGCAAAATGAAGCATGTAAAATGGAAGATCAGCAAGACAAGCACTAGTGTTAGTTTAGAAGTGCAAATTGGGGATCATACCATTCCACCAGTCTCAGTATTTTGGATCTATAAACAAGATAAAGAAGAAATTTAACCTTCAAGTTGGGTGAATGAAATGATGAAGTGTCTGTTATTATTTGTGATTCAAAAGTGCTTCTCAAGCTTAATGAAAATTTTACTACTCAATCACTTGACCTTCGACTATTGTATGGCATTAAATGTTGAGTGGTAAAGAGCCTAAAAAGAAGCCCAGTTAGTGTTGCAAATATGAGGATGTTGTAGCTGTGGTGAGTAAGTGGGCATAAAAGACTAGATAGAATCAACAATGAATACATTAGAGAGAAAGCAAGCTAGCATCTATTGAGGAAAAATTGGTAGAATATTGCCTAAGGTGGGTTATACTGTGGGAGAAGACAATAGAAGCCCAATCAGGAGAGTGGATCAGATGCAAGATAGCCCCAAGAAATTTTTTTGGCAAAACCATTAGATAGGAGTTAAATCTAAATGGAATTTTTGAGGTTTTGGTTTGTGATAAAACACAATGGTGTCATTTGATCCATATAGTGAGGGGAGGCTCTGTTGTATTTGAATGCCAATTGTAGTATGTGACTGAATCTAGTTGTATATGACTATTGTCCCATTATATCAAATTACGTTTAACCTTTAATTTTCTAACTTATGAATGATCCCACATTTTTCCTGGCTTTATTTTGGTTCTACATATAATAATGGTTTTTTGATCAATGCAGGAAAGAAAAGAAAAAGAAGCCCTTGCTACAGAAGGGGGGTGGACGGTTGTTGTACACCATAAGGGGAGAAAGAAAACTACAGACTCTGAAAGTGGAGTTGCTGTGGGCTCAGTTGCTCAAGCTGCTGTGGAGAATAAAATGACCAAAAAGAAACATAAAGGAGTTGGTCTAGATTTCTACCGCTTTCAAAAAAGAGAAGCACAGAGAAATGGTATGATTTCTTTTTTGAAATTGACCTAAAAGTTGTTTTGTTGGTGTTGAAACAAATATCAATAATTGACTATAGATCCACAATGTTAGTATAAATTGAAAGAAAAGCATAAACATGTCATTTTAGGCGGCTTTCAATTTATACACTACTCTTTTCTATTTGTATGAAGTTATATTTTTTAAATTTCCCTAATTTCTATTGTGCTTTAGATTCACAATTTATTTTGTCAGCAACTAAAATTTTATACATGAAAACACTAGCAAATCCGGTTTCTGGAGGTTCATGAAATGAATGTCGTGTTGCTGTGTATTGGAACCACTCGGGGAATTAATGATTTTATGCAGAAGTCTCATGCTTTATACCCTATATTGTTTCTTAACTTCAGTTGTATATAAGGTTTTAAGCCTATTTTATCGCCAAGATTAGATTTTATACACAAATGAATGTCATCAAAGAATGTTTCTGGGTGTTCATGTTGCTGTTGGCTGGAACTGCACAAGGAACTATATGTTTTTATTTAAGAATATCATGCTTTATACCTCATATTGTTTCTTATCTCTTGTTCTGAATTAAAACTTGGTAACTTTCTAAATTGATCTTGATTATAGATCTTTTGTTATTGTTAGTGGTCAAACTGAGATAAACCATTTATGTTTTGCTTGCAGAGCTCATGACATTGCAGAGCAAATTTGAGGAGGACAAAAAACGTCTGCAGCAGATGAGAGCTGCCAGGAAATTTAGACCTTATTAAACAATGTTTTTGATGAGAGCTGCCAGGAACGTTTACAGTAGTTTTTATTTTGGTGGATTTGGGGTGGTGTGGGCGGTGGTTATGTAGTCTTGAGTTGGATTTCTTATAGCTCTCAAATTAAGGAAGGTTAATTTATCGTTCCAATTTTGCCAAAAAAGAATTGTACATTTAGTGTATGTAATAGTTATTTTAAATTGAGTTATATGACTTTGCAGGGTTGGAAATGCTGATCGACCCCTAATTTCCGTTACTGTAATTGGATTTTGGTCGTTTTGGTAACATCGTTTTAAACATGACAATAACTCCAAGTTCTAGATAGTTATTTACTTGAAACATCCTAATTCAAGGAAGAATTGTTAAAACATTGAGCAATTAGTTTTCCTACTGTATACTTATCACTTGTTTCATTTTGTTATTTTGTCCCGTTGAATTTGCTTCTAATGTCAGCCTAACTTTTGTTTGGTAAAGATGGATATGATGGAGAGGAAGAATACACTGTTATTATGTTAAACTTTGGTAATATAATTGTAAGGAATGGAAAAGAGGGGTGTATGATTTTTTATGTCCGTAGAAGAAAAATATAAACAATTTAGTTTTTATTTTATTTTCGCCTTTGACTAATTAGTGTTAACTTTAATATTTTTCATTACTTTTTCCATCTTTTTTTCTGAATGCCAATCATGTTATAGATTTTTACTCTTCTGTCCTCTATCTTTAATTTTAGGTGAGTTTTGTGGATTTTAACATGTCAATTTGGGGTTGATTTAATAAATTGATTCATTTAGCTTGCTAAGAAGGTTAAGTTGGACTTAAAAAAATGATATCTATGTAAAATTAGTTTGAGTTGGTCCATAAAGTTAAGCCTAACACGTCAAATGAGTTATGTCGAATTAGTTTGTAGGTTAAGAGGATGACTCATTAAATTAATGAATAAAATAATATAAATTATTATCATTTTGTAAATTTTAATGTATTATAATATAATATAATATTATAAAATAATATTTAGATGTAGTTACAAGATTAAAATTAAGGTTGGCCGTTGTAAGAGTTTTGTCGTTTTTATTGTGATTTTGATGGCTAATTTCATGACTTATCATTTGTGTTTTATTTGTTGAAAAAAACAAATGTAGTTGTACTCACTTTTTTTTTTAATTGTATTTCTTTAATTTGGCTTGATGGATTGACAGGATTTAGTTGGGTTAGAAAATAATTGTCTAAAAAGAATATAGGTTAAATTAACCTAATCTAAAATAATATTTGATACATGTAGGTAACATGACCTGTTTGACACATTTAAGTAAGTTAAGTGAGTTGATTTTGGTTTAACTTCATTTTGATATGACTATATTAATTACCTTCAATTAATCAAAAATAAAAATAAAAAGGTTAAGTTTGTTCTTTTTTCTTTATTAGTTAAAATTCATTAAAATTATGATCATGAATGAAACTAGTTAAATAATAAGTGAGATTCATTTTTTTTAATTTTTAATAAATTTGAATAATAATAATAATAATAATAAGCATATATTAAAAAATCATTATTATCAGTTATATCTATCTTTCTTTGAGAACCTGCTCATCAGCCTTCTTAAAATAGCATATTAGAAAATAGGAAGTTGACGTTCTAAATGCCATTAATAAAGACAACATGCTACCTTCAATGACATTGTTTACGGATAATAAATAAAAAATAACTTTTGAGTGTTTGGAAACAAATTCTTCACAAGGTAAACGACTTACATTCAATTAGCAGATAATAAATGAAATTTTACATATATAAGTAAGGTGAGTTTGATACATACAAAAGTATATGATAAAGATAATACTAATGCTTAAATTTTTGAACAAGCTTTTATCGAATAGAGTGGTGGTAGGCAGAACTGGTAAAAATCGGGATGGTATCTGTACAACTATAATTATACCAAATGATTTTATACTTGAGATGAAGATTTGTTCCATGATTTGTTAAATAATAAAAAATATAATTTTTGTTGTGTCCTTTTTTATATTATTTATCCTGTCCCACAATTTTTTTATAAATCAAATACAATTATTTTGTTCTGCCCAGTACCATGATTTATAATAAATCATAGTAGTTTTTTAGACTAAATTATTATTATATATATAATTTGATTTATTCATTATTAATAATTAAATTTAATCTCCTAATTTTCAATAACGAGTTAATGTTACTATTTTCGTCCAATTAATATGATTGTTGTTAACTACCAAGATTTGTGAAATGAACACGTGTTTAACTTTGCTAACCGAATTAGTGATAATCGAATGAAAAAGACAATATCAACTCAATTTTAAAAACCAGAGACTATATTGAAATTTTTAATAATAAAAAATTATATTGAACATATTAAATAGAAAAATACAAATAATTTAAAATAATTTTTATCTTTGGAAAATGTTATCTAAGTGTTTTGAGAATCAACTCTTAAATATTAAAGACGAAACTCTATTTCATATGAGAATTTTTTTAGGAATTTTTTTTTCAACTAAGGGTTTGGAAGAATTTTTATAATCTTTTATCTAATTTGATTTTTATTTATCATAATTATTTAGTAATTAAATATTAATATTTTAAAATAAATTATCAATAAATATAAAATATTTTTTTATAATATAAATTATTTATCATAAATTCAAATTATATAATAAAAAAATTGGACACAAATAATTAATGGGTTGAGTTAAGGTTGAATTCTTAGGAAAATACTTGAATTCAATCCTTGACCAAAACAATCTTTAATCAAAATTTACTTATCTTAAAAATATTTATCTATACTTATTTTAAATATAATTTATATATTTATATTATTTTTTATATATAATTTATTATAAATTTTAATTTTGTTATATATAATAAACATGTTTGTACATTACACATGCTAAAATATTAATATGTAGTAAAAAAATATTTTTTTATAAAAATTATAATATTTAATACCATCAATATATACTGAATCGTTATTTTTTAAAAACAACTTAAATATAACTTTTTTAATTTAAGTCTTAGTCATTTTTTTATGAATGTTCCTCCTTCGCTTGATTGAAATTAGATTTTAATTTTTGAAACTGTATAAATATATGTTTTCCTCTATATAAAATATGTATGATATACTACTATTTTACATGAGAATATTTTTAGAAACTTATGTGAGTATTTTTGGGTGTTTTTCTTAATTAGATAAGATAATAATTTGTAGAAATTCTTTTAAATGTTTTATTTAATTTAATTTTTATTATGATATTTATTTGCAAGTTATATTTAATTATTTAACAAATAAATCATCAACAATTAAAAATAATCTGATAATATAAATTATTTATCATAAACATGGTTTATATGTTTAAAAGATGTATTTATACAAATTTAAAGTATGATTTATATATCTAAATATATTATATTTATTTTTATATATCATTTATTATAAATTTTAATTATATAAAATGAACATTTAACTTGTAATTTAAAATATTAATATTAATTGTAGACTAATATTATAACCCATGAATCAAAAATTACAATGTATCATGATTTAAACATAAAACTGTTATATATTATTCCAACTTCGATTACAAGGCTGACTCTAGTGTATGCCTAGAGTAATATTGTCCGGCCGACAAAAAAACCTATCATTCATATTATTATAAATTCATATTTTTTCCACTGTTTATTGTAAAATTCGTATTTAAATAATTAGCTTTTAGTTCAACGATAGATATATAATTCTACTTCTTTACCAAAAAAAAAAAGAAGAAGATATATAATTCTACTGTAGCAGCCACCCAACAATCCATTATTCGTCAATTCTTCATTTATTTAGGATGCATTAGTATATACATTAATTAAATATTACTAAACAAAACTCTTAATTATCGTATTATTCTTGTATTAGCACCAGCTTAAAGTTTGAAACTAGATATAAATAATAGAGGAGGGATTCTTTTACTGTAGGAGTAAGTTTATGTAGACTTACTCAGTTCAATAACTCATGTTCTACATCAAATTTTAACGATCCAACCGTTCAATTTAAAGTTTTAATGCATAGATCAAATTTACAAATTTTTAGAAAATTTAAAAATTATTTGATACTTCATTTCATTAATTCAAATTGACGAATAATTATAAAATTATTTTATATATTGATTCGAATTAATGAAACAAAGTATCAAATGATTTTTAAACTTTCTAAAAATTTGCAAATTTGATCTATGCATTAAGAACTTTAAATTGAACGATTGAATTGTTAAAATTGATATAAAACATGAATTATTGAACGGAGTAAGTCTAGATAATATATAGTGAGGACATCAAACTTATCTACAAGAATTGTAAAGGAGTAGATAAAGACGATAATATTTAATTAAGAAATGACCAAGTCCATTCGAGTTAACCTTCCTAGCATCCAAAGTAGTGCGTGTATTTATAACAGGAAGAAGAAAAAACGAGAAGAAACAATATAAGATGAGCTAACATTAGCGTTTAAAGAATTAAAATAGAACTAAAAGAAACAAGGTCATATTTCAAAGAGGATACAAAGTCTACGCAATTAGTCATTGGAGGCGTGTACTTGTATATGTATATAATAGAGTATGCAATAGAGTTATAAAGCAAGCCAACTCATCTTACTTATCGTGCCTATAGGTTCTAATAAGAAGTGATTATGAGTGACATAGCAAGAAAATGGAGAGATCTTAGTGGCAGAAGTAATTGGAAAAGTATGCTAGAACCTCTAGATCTTGACCTTCGTCGTTACATAATACGCTATGGCCAACTCGCTCAAGCCACATACGATGCTTTCAACTCAGAAAAAGCATCTAAGAATGCTGGCAATAGTCTATATTCCAAGAGTGATTTCTTTTCCAAAGTTGGTTTGGAACATGGAAACCCTTTCAAGTACGTTGTGACCAAGTTCCTCTAGGCAAGCTGAAGCCTTTATCCTGAAGTCATTTTCGAAGGACGCATGGAGCAGGCAATCGAATTGGATAGGGTACGTTGCTGTTGCCACTGATGAAGGCAAAGCAGCATTAGGGAGGAGGGACATAGTGGTTGCTTGGAGATCGAGGAACAATTCAAGCCTCTGAATGGGTCAAAGACTTTCATTTCCATTTGGATGATGCACCAGAAATTTTTGGTAATGCTCGTGCCCAAGTGCACAATGGTTTTTACTCCGTTTACACCTCCAATAACCTAAGTTCACAATTCACTAATATCAGTGCAAGGAATCAGGTAACATTTAATGACAGCCCCAAAAGGAGGACCTTTCACTCCTCA